AGTGCCAGGGGACAGTTCTGGGGTAGTGTGGCTGCCTTGTAGGCCCTAGGCAGTGATTTGGATTCGTGATCCTGCCTCATATGTGTCACTGCCCTTTGAGATCCCTGATGCCAAAACTAAGCAAATGGTTGTCACCACCAGGCATGTGGGAGCACCAGAACTCAAACAAGTACCTCTGGCAAACACCACAACCAAATGTGTGACTCTTTTTGCTTTGGTTTTGGGGCCACACTAGTGATTTTCAGGAGCTACTCCCTGTGATGCACACGGATCATGTGGTACCAGGATTTGAACCTGGGCCTTCCACAGGCAAAGCATGTGCTTTTGAGCATCTCCCTGGCCCAAGTGTGCAGGTCTTGGTGAATACTGTAACCATAGACTGTGTGAGCACTGCACTAAAGCATGCCATCCCCAGTGAGCACCATACTCCTCCTCTCCCTAAAAAGTGTGAACACCACCGCCAAGTGTAATAAAGGAAGAAGAAGTGAGGCGAATAGTAGAAAATGTTTAAATGCTCACCAACTGGTGAATGGACAACAAAAAATGTGGTATATTCATTCATAAGTATTCTTAGGACTTAAGAAGCAATGGAGGGGACTGGAGCTGGTAGGGTGTTTTCCTTGCATGCGGCTGACCTGGGTTTGCTCCCCAGTGTCTGATATGGTCTCCAGAGTCTGCCAGGAGTGATCCCTGAGAGCAGAGTCAGGAGTAAGCCAGGGTGTGGCTCAAAACACCAAAATGAAAAAGCAGTGGAGTAGCTGGAGAGCTATTACACTTGGGGTAAAGGCATTTGCCTTAAGTGCAGCTGATACCAGTTCAATCCTTGTCAGCCTTATAGTCCCCTGAGCACCATCAGGAGTGATTCACTGCTAGATGTGGCCCAAAGACACAAACAAACAAACAAACAAAACTCCACGTGCCTCACACATATGGAGCCTTGGGTTCAATCCCTGGGACCAAAAAACCCCACTCCCCCACCCCCCCAAAAAAAAACCCAAATAACAATTATTCTTCTCCTTCCCCCATTAAAAACTTAAAAATAAGTGAATCTCTGGGCCAGAGAGATAGTACAGTGGATAGTAAGTGCCAGGGGACAGCTTTGGGATAGTGTGGCTGCCTTGCAGGCCCCAGGTATCAAGTTGGATTCATAGTGCTGCCTCATATGTATCACTGTCACTTGTCTTGCATGTGACTAACCTGGGAACGGCACCATATTGCCCCCCAAGCTCACCAGGAGTGATCCCTGAGCACAGAGTCAGAAGTAAGCTTTGAGCACCACCAGGTTTGGCCCCAAAACAGGAAAAAAAGAAAAAAAGAGAGAATCTTTGACATTTTCAGCTTCTATACCAGGAGGTGAGACTCCCCCCAAACATGAGGATGGTCACCTGAGGAATGACAAAGTTTCACTACATCACCCATGGACAAATAACCTTCCTTCACCTGTTTCCCTCTTCAAAAATAGAAATAATGATGACTTCTATGCATGGGAATTCTACTGTCTAAAAGGAGCCGGTGAGGGTAAAGGACTTCTCACGTGCTGGCACAGTATAGGAGCTTTGTTCAACCCCCGCCCTCCACAATCTTTGGCAGCTCAGTGCCTCTGTTATTTAACTGCACACCGTAAATGGGATTCCATTTGTAATATTCAAGCCCAGTAACAATTCTGTAACTCAGAGCAAGGTCTGTTGAGGCAGTTCCACTTTTCTGTCATCCTTAGAAGTGAAAAAGAGAAAACACAGTGTTTGGGAAGGCCCAGGCTTTCTCATGCACCCTATTTATACAGTCAGGGAAAGGGAGCTTTCAGAAAAGGTAGTTTGTTTTCAACTCAATTGAAGTCAATTCAGCAGATGTTTGGGTTAAGCCTTTTTATTTTTCAACATATTTTTCTTTAAGCATTAAATACTATTTATTGATTCAGTGGCCAACTCAGGCAGCATTTGGTGTGTTAGAAGACACCTGTCAGAAAAGAAATACACAGCCTCCTGCAAGGTCCTGTCACAATATGAGCAGGATGTAATGTGTTTAGTAGCACCTCAACTTGCTCAGATAAGCCTTAAATGGTCCCTGGTTATCTGCATTCATTTAAAACAAAACACTGAACGCTTCCTTTCACCTCTGCCTTCCTCTTGACCTCATCTTTTTCCCTCAAAGTTTTTATTTAAAAAAAATATATATACAAGAGGATATTTTCTCCCCTCATAATTCTAGCAAGGTTCCAGTGTGAGAAGAAGAAAGGGATGGAACTTTCCAGAAAAAATATTTTGTTACTCAGATATGTTTAGGAAACCTATCTATTTGAACTTGAGGGTTTTTTTTTTCCTTGTTTAACTTTTGCTTTTGTTCCTGGGCCACAGCTGGCGATGCTCAGGGGTTACTTCTGACCCTGCACTCAGGAATTGTTGCTGGCGGTGCTCAGGGAACCCTATGGGGCACTGGGAATTGAACTCAGTTCAGCCATGTGCCAAGCAAGCATCCTACTCGCCATATTATCGCTCTGACCCCTGGAAATTGAGTTTTTAAAGAATAACTTTGCCCTGATCAGGCTTGTTCTTCAACCCTTGAACACGTATCTCACTTGCTTGTCTCTGTTTCTTTGCCTATTTCCACTCTAGAGAAGCTTGTATTCTCCCTTGAACATGTACTTCTCCCTTTCCTCTCATATCTTTCTAAGTTTCAATAGAAATTAAAAAAAAAAGAATGGCTTTGCCCTGGTCAGATGACAGTCTGCCCTTTCTTCTGTGGCCCTAAATGGTAGGGTGAATGAAGCAGGACTCAGTAAGGCTTGGAGAAGCCTTGAAAGGGCTTCTGTGGGTACAATCACAGGAGTCAAAGGAGGTTACCCAAGTGGCCTGTCCTCTTGTCTGGTTTGGAAGTTAGAGCCTAGACGTCCACCCAAAAGACTAAGAAAACTGGTCCTCCTCTTATTCACCCCGCAAAGGAATCCACATTCTTTGAACCATGCATGGATTTTCTACCATAAATGGTAGAAAAGAATGTGAATTCGTTTTGTTTTGTGGCCACTCCTAGCAGTGGTCGGGGTTACTCCTGGCTCAGTACTTTGGGGGATTGAGATTGAGAGGGATGAACCTAGACTCTCCGCAGGCAAAGCATGCACTCAGCCCTTTCGGCTCTCTCTCTCTCTCTCTCTCTCTCTCTCTTTCTCTCTCTCTCTCTCTCTCTCTGGCCCTAAAAAGATACACTTCTGAGTCCAAGAGTCCTGGGTTTGACTTTTGTCTTTATACCTTATTAACTGTGTGACCTTGGACAAAGACTTTTTCTCAGATCAAAATTCTCTTCTACAAATGGGAAAAAAAAACCTTCCCAGGGTTACTGGAGAAAATATCCTATGTAAAGACTCAGGTGAAAAGTATCTTGTGAAATATATGTCACTTGGTGGTTATTTAAAATATAGTAGCAGGGCTGGAGAGATCGTGCAGTGAATAGATTGCTTGCCTTGCACATGGCCGACTGGGGTTGATCCCTGGCATCCCATATGATCCTCCAGAACCACCAGGTTGATTCTTGAGTGCAGAGCCAGAGTGCAGATTCTTGAGTAAGCCCTGAGCATCACTGGATTTTTTTTTGTTTTGCGCCCTCACCCCCCCCCCCCAACAAAAAGAAACAACAAATAAACAAATAAGAAAATACAGTAGGGAGAAAATATTCCGGGGGAGGAAACTTCCTGTATTTTTTTCAGCTGTAATCAAGTGAGCAGATTTATAGGAGGATGACAATGAGGTGGGCGAAGAGGGGTCAGTTCTTATTTTCCTGACTCTCAATTCCCCCTCAAAATGAATTTCGGACCTCAAGGAAGATAGTCTCCTAGACTTTGAGGCTATGAGTCACACTCTGTCATTTTTATCATAGAATAAGAAATTCATTATCATGTTTCCAAGTTGCTTTCCATGGTAAGAGGCACAATTGATTAAAAATTAGCTTGTTTTTCCCCCAATAGGGATAATACAAATGGATTCACCAAGTTTAAGGCACATTCTGTTATTGGAACCATTAAAATGTGAGCAAATACACATCTTGCAGTTGAGAAAATACCGCCATAGTAATGCTGGCTCTCTCTCATGTGGCACCAGACTGTGCTCCCTCATACTCTCCTGAGCCCTCAATTCCTGGAAACCTGAGGAGGCATTTGTTAGCATGTCAGTGTTAGGAGCTAAATATAGAGAGGATGAGTCACAGGTGGAAGGTCACACACTCAGGAAGCAGGCCTTGTAAGCAGGTCTTCTTAATTCCCACCAGTTTTCCCTCTCAGGCCTGCTCCCTACAGGGAATGGTCTGTGAACATGCTTCTTAGAACCTGTCCTGATCTCTGCAAGGGGACCAGGAACAGAGCGTTGCAATCAACTGATATCCAAACACTGGCCCTTGCAGATAAGGTGGTAATGGGAAAGTGAGGACTGCTCAGAAGCCAGTGAGACTAAGGGAGAGTTATTCCAGTGCCAGGGGGACAGAGTTGGGAGGAGAGGCCCTCACCAGCTTTGAGGTGGGTTCCAGGCCCCTGGACATGATAACAAACTTAAACCTCGGAAGCCATCAATCTTTGAAGTCTCCCTTTGCCTCCTAACTTTTGCTGGTTTTGGGTCACACCTGGAGATGCCTTCCTGGCTTTTTACTCAGGGATCATTCCTGGGGGATTCAAGGACCACATGGGGTACCAGGGATCAAACTGGGGCAAGGCATGCACCATATCTACTGTACTATCTTACTGATTCTCCTAACCTTTGACTAATGAATAGAAGCCTTTTTAGAATTCCATTTTTCCCGTGTTTTTGAAGAGGGAAAAACTGCATTTATTGGTCATTATGAGCCAGTGAGCAGCCATCTAGTAGTAGAACAAGTCACAAATAAACCAGCTGTCTTTCTGGTTAGTTCAAGTTAGTTTCTCTGTGCCTGGTTTTGGAAGTGAGAATTTTGTCTTGCCAAGCTATGGATAGGGCCCTGGTTCCACCAGCACTCCAAAGGCACCGTCTGGAGGGGTGGGAGGGAGAGCCACACTTCCATCAGAGTATTCCCTACACGGCTCTACTTCATCAGATGACAAAGGAGCATTCCAAGGCTTTGAGGCAAGGTGACTTCAGGGATAAGGACACAGTGGGAGTGGAGCAGGGCAGGACAGAGGTGCAGGTGCTGGAAGCATCAGGGATGGCATAAGAGAGGTCCCTGTCCACCCGACCGGAAAGCACTTAGTGAAGCTGCCGGATGAGAAAGTGCTTCATGGTCTTGCCTGCAGAGTTTCTTCAGACAGTGGTGGAGAGAGCACCAGGCTGGGTCATCGAGTCTGTGTCTCCACATGGATGTCCACAGGGCTGAAGGTCACAGTGGCTGGGTGCTGACTGCTGTTGCCGTTTGGGCCCGGGGGAGAAGCTGGGGCTGGCTTGGGGCCCTTGGGCTCCAACTCCCTCCTTGTCCTCATTTTCCTGGAACAAGATTATGCAGGTGTGGTTGAGTCTTTCTCTAGGCTGAGAAGGGATCCTGTCTACAGGGCTCAGGAAGAGACAGCTGGGGGTCCTATTTTTATCACATTGTTTAGATTTATTTATTCATTTATTTTTGCTTTGATTTGGGGTCACACTGGGCAGGGCTCAGGGGTGACTCCTATACTCAGGGATTACTGCTGGTGGTGCTCAGGGAACCAGATGGTATGCCAGGGATCGAATCCAGGTCAGTTGTTTGCAATGCAAGTGCCCTACCTGCATATTCTCAGTCTGGTCCCCATATTAATTTCAATTTATTGTTTAACTTATCATGGGCTGGAGCGATAGCACAGCGGTAGGGCGTTTGCCTTGCACGCAGCCAACATGGCCGACCCGAGTTCGATTCCTTTGCCCCTCTCAGAGAGCCCAGCAAGCTACCGAGAGTATCTCGCCCGCATGGCAAAGCCTGGCAAGCTCCCCGTGACGTATTAGATACGCCAAACACAGTAACAAGAATTCTCACAATGGAGACGTTACTGGGCCCACTCGAGCAAATTGATGAACAACAGGAGGACCGTGTTTAACTTACCAGATATTTACTTTTGATTTTTTTCTTTTTGGGTCACACCTGGCGATGCACAGGGGTTACTCCTGGCTCTGCACTCAGGAATTACTCCTGGCAGTGCTCAGGGGAACATATGGGATGCTGGGGATTGAACCTGGGTTGGCCGCGTGCAAGGCAAACGCCCTACCCACTGTGCTATTGCTCCAGTCCCCTACTTTTGCTTTTAAATCTTTTTCCTATTGATGAATGAGTGCAGTGCCAGATCAGTGGCTATGTTAAAGGTAAAACTAAAATATAACACAACTGGGAGAATGCTCAAAGAGCTAGAATGCTTGCTTTTCATGCAGAAGGTCTGGGATCACACTTCTCTGTGTGTGTAACTCAGGTGTCCATGATATGCATAGTATTTTGTAAACTTGGCAAGTCTGACATCATGGAAAGAACCACACAATGCCAGAGCCCCGGGGCCTTCTGTACCTGTTGTATATCTTCAGCAGGACAAGAACCACAGTGAAGATGATGATGACAACAACCACAACGGCAGCAACGATGGCTCCAGAACCTACAAGGAGGAAGGAAAAGGAGATGGCACATGTGCCAAGTGAAATAGAAAACCATTCTGAGACAGAGCTGGATCCTGGCCACGGGCAACTGGCATCCCCTCTGGGTCAAGGAGACCAGGGAGAATGCCTTGTCCTGGGACACTCAGTGCTGCCATTTCCCCAGGACAGACTAGCCCTAGAGTGGCCGTGCACCTGTACTCACAATGGGCTTGGAGGTTATATCTGTAGCATATCACTGACCAAATTCTGCCATAGGCTAAGTCTTGTCCCTCTCAACTCTAACACAACTTCAAAAACTTCTGATATTTTTTTCGTTTGTGTGTGTGTGTGTGTGTGTGTGAAATTGCAAGCAAAACACTCTTTCTTCTTATTTATTAATTTTTTGGGCCACCCCCCGTAGTGCTCAAGGGACCGAGGGACTGACTTTCTTTTTTTTTTTTTCTTTTTGGGTCACACCTGGCGATGCACGGGGCTTACTCCTGGACTTCTGGCTCTGCACTCAGGAATTACCCCTGGAGGTGCTGAGGGGACTATATGGGATGCTGGGAATCGAACCCGGGTTGGCCGCATGCAAGGTCAACGCCCTACCTGCTGTGCTAGTGCTCCAGCCCCGGGACTGACTTTTGAAGCTGGGCCTCCCACTGCAAAGCAGGTGCTCCAGATCTCTGACCTACTTCCCTAGCCTTTATATTGTAATTTAAATGTACAAAAGATAGAATGTGATTTTATGTACACATCCACACATACATATATATACACATATGTCTCAACTCTTAAAATATGTACATGCACATCTAATATTGAACAAAATAAACCATATGTAAAAGAGGACAAGTAGAATGATTTTGATTATGAACAACCTAATATAGGGTAGCCGAAGAGGGAATGGTGGGTTCCTTTGAATGTGGGACAGTGATCGCAAGGGGTCTCGGACATCCAGGAGATGGACCATGGTCTGGCTTTTGTTCTGGGGCTGTTGATACAGCAGACAGGGTCATTTTGTGAAAATTCATCCAGTTGCACACTTGTTGTACTGTTTTTCTTAAATGTATATAATACTTTTATGAAAAATATACTTTTTTTTAAAAACATTTTTTTGGAGGGTGGGCTATAGCTGGTGGTGCTCAGGGGTTATTCCTGGCTCTGTATTCTGGGGTTTTTGGTGGCCCTTGGTGGACCAAGAGTGAAGGAATCAAATCTGTGTCTCCTGCTTGCAATGCATGCCCTCAGTTTCAAGCTATCTCTCAGCCTCTTGAGCTGTCTCTTTTTCATTTGCTCGAGCAGGCCCAGTAACGTCTCCATTGGAGACTTTGTTGTTACTGTGTTTGGCATATCGAATACGTCACGGGGAGCTTGCCAGGCTCTGCCGTGCGGGCGAGATACTCTCGGTAGCTTGCCGGGCTCTCCGAGAGGGGCAGAGGAATCGAACTCGGGTCGGCCATGTTGGCTGCGTGTAAGGCAAACGCCCTACCGCTGTGCTATCGCTCCAGCCCATTTATTTTAAGTAAATGAAAGATTTACTTTATACATATATAAATAAAGATTTACTTTATATACATAAAAAACCTATGTTTAATCTGGGGAAATGGGCTGAGTGTATTGGATATACACAAAGTCACAGAATGATTACAATAGACCCCCAAATTTCCCATTATTCGTTCAAGTCATTTTTTTGTTTATTTGTTTGGGGGCCACACCTGGCAATGCTCAGGGGTTACTCCTAGCTCTGTGCTCAAGAATTACTTCTGGCAGTGCTCAGGGTACCATAAGGGATGCCAGAGATTGAACCCGGGTTGGTCACATGCAAGGAAAATGCCTACCTGCTATACTCCAGCCCCCTGACTCTTGACCTCTACGGCAAGAACTGACTATGATATTTGTCCCGTCATGCCGAGCCCCTCCCGCACCACCAAGTCAGGATGACCTTACTCTTGTATAGAAAGTCTTCTTCCCTGTTGGTGACATTCAGTGAGAAGGGAGCATTCCCCACAGGGGTGGCTGTGGTCATCTTGACCCTAGTGAGAACAAAGACAACATTTTGTTTAAAACCAGAGTGAGCCTTAGGGTTCCTGAATAAGATCTTTTTTGGTTTTCATCTGGATAATCAAAGATTACTTAAGACTTCTGGTCATCTTATATACATAAGTAATATGTGTCCAACCATGAACAGATGGTGAGAAATGGTGAAATCTTGCAGTTCACTGCAATGTGGATGGAACTGGAGGAAGTCCTATTAAGTGAACTGAGAGAGAGGGAGAAGGACAAACATTGGATAATCTCACTGATCTGTGATATACAGAGAAACAAAACAAGGGAAGAGACAGTATTGAGTGACGACACATCCTTTGCCTTGAATCACAAAACTGAGATCACCAAACAGTAGAGGAAGGAAAGAGGGGAATGACGGGATGGCCTGGGAATGGTATCAGGACATTGGTGGAGGGTTCTGGGCACTCTGATGGTAGTGAGGCGTGGTAACAGTGTACATGAAGATCATAACTGTTCATACCATTGTAAATGTACTGCCTAAACTATAATAATAAAATTAAAATCACTGTATCAGTGTATCACTGTCATCCTGTTCATCGATTTACTCGAGCGGGCACCAGTAACGTCTCCATTCGTCCCAGCCCTGAGATTTTTTATTTTTTTATTTTTTATTTTTTGGCTTTTTGGGTCACACCCGGCAATGCACAGGGGTTACTCCTGGCTCTGTACTCAGAAGTTACTCCTGGCGGTGCTCAGGGGACCATATGGGATGCTGAGAATCGAACCCAGGTCGGCCGCGTGCAAGGCAAATGCCCTACCCGCTGTGCTATCTCTCCAGCCCCCAGCCCTGAGATTTTAGCAGCCTCTCCTTACTCGTCTTTCCCAGTGCTGCTGTATTGGAGGCCCTTTCAGGGTCAGGGGAATGAGACCCGTTATTGTTACTGTTTTTGGCATATCGAATACATCACGGGTAGTTTGCCAGACTCTGCCGTGCGGGTGGGATACTCTTGGTAGCTTGTCGGGCTCTCCGAGAGGCATATATATATATATATATATATATATATATATATATATATATATATTTACCTCTGTGATTTGTTGCAAAATCAGCAACCATATTTATTGAATTCCTTCTAACATTTTTGGTGGTGGTTGGGAGAGTGGAGCATATCCCGTACTGTTCAAGGGCTGCTCTCCACTCTGTACTTGGGGATCACTCCCAGCACTGCTTGGGGGTCTATTTGCAGTGCCAGAGATCTAACCAGGTCTCCTGCATACAACATATGCCCTCCAGCCCATCGAGTCCTCTCTCTGTTCCTTATAGAGAATCACTTAATCACTTAACTTCCCGTTAGTCGTCAATTTGCTCGAGCGGGCGCCAGTAACGTCTCCATTTGTCCCTGTCACGTGCTAGTGTAGCCCAATGGTATCTGTTCGCTCCGGGAACATGAAGGGCCTCAAACCGATCGTTCATGATCTTGACGAAGAAGTCTGACCATCTGGTAGGTGGGCGGCCACGCGGTCTTTTGACATCCCGTGGAATCCAGTCAGTAACAGCTCTAGTCCAACGGTCATCTTTAAATCTCATTACGTGACCAGCCCATCTGATTTTCGACACCTTGGCAAATGAGACAGCGTCCCTGATCCTTGATCGTCGACGGATGTCAGAACTCCGGATTCTTTCTCTCATTTGAGTGAAACGTGATATTCCAAGCATAGCTCTTTTTTCAATTCTTCTTTGGGAGACCTGAATAGTGTTCTCATCCTGTTTGCGTAGGGCCCAGGTCTCTGAGGCATATGTTAATGCAGGAAGAACAGTGGAATCAAAGAGATGTGCCCGGAGCCGGAGGTTCTTCGTCCTCTTAGCTATTTCTTCGATGTTCTTGAAGGCGTTCCAAGCCGCTCTCTTCCTCCTGCGCAGCTCGGGTGCCAGGTCATTTGTCATGTTGACCTCTCGACCTAGGTACACATAGCTGTTGCATTCGGAGATGGTCGTTCCACTGAGAGCGAATGGGGCGTCAGGAACAAGGCTGTTTCTCATAAACTGGTCTGGTAACTACAACTGGTCTCATTATAGAGAATATCTACCTGGATTTCTAGTAACAGTGAGGGGCTGGGTGTTTTTGTTGATGAAACTGCAACCCCCAAAGTCTTGTGGAATTCCAAGGTCACCCAGAAGAATTTAACCAGGAGCCAGAGTGATAAGTGCAGAGGATAGGGCACTTGCCTTGCATGCCAGTTCAATCCTCAGCATCCTATATGGTCCCCCATGCACTGCCAGGAGTTAATTCCTGAGTGCACCGTCAGGTATGGCTCAAAAACAAAACAAAACAAAACAAAACAAACCAGCAGAGTGTAACCAGGTTGTTTACCTCTTGCTCTTTCACCAGCCCCAATGAAGCCTGAAATCATTCCTGTTTTCAAAAGAAATGCGAAACAAAGTATACACAAGCAGTGAACAGCTTAGCAAGTATTATTCTGTGGTGGTGAAGAGGGTTTCATAGGAGACATACACTGAGAGGAGATGGGCACCTCCTGGGGTGAGAGGAGTGAGGAGGTGGATGGCTCCCAGTCCTAAACAAGGAGAGACATGTATGTTGAGCAGTAGCCAGGCACCATGCTCTGTCACAGATGGCTTCACACGCAGATCATTTATCTTCTTGTTTGTCTACATTTTGCTGCTGAACAAACTAGGTCCCAGTGAGGTTGAGTGAATGGACCAAAGTCACACAGCCAGGAAGTAGGATGTGGAGCTTGGGTTCAAGCACACAGAGAACTGTTCAAACTTAGGTGCAATTCTGAGAAGAAATTAGGCCTTATTATGGTTATTATATCTTCTGGAGACGAATGAGAGAGCATATATATATATATGTACATTTATATACATATATCTTTTCGGGGTGCGGTTTGTTTTTGGGCAACACCCAGTGGTGCTCAGGCTCTACTCCTGGCTTTGACCTCAGTGATCACTCCTGGAAGGCTCTGGAAACCATACAGGATGCTTAGGATTGAATCTAGGTCAGCTGTGTACAAGGTAAGCACCCTACCCACTGCACTATCTATCTAGCCCGAAAGAAACTGCCTTTTGACCACTAGTGTACACTCTCTTTTTAAACCTCTTATTCCTTTAAATTTTATTTGGAGGGAGGGTTTCTTTCTTTCTTTTTTTAACTTTTCAAAAATTTTAAAATTTTTTATTTTCAATTTCTTATCTTTTGGGGGGAGGTTTTTAAAAAAAATTTTTCATTTATTTTTGTCTCTTTATTTGGATTCATTCTTGTGCTGCATGTACCCAACCACTAAGCTACCATCATGACCTGTTGTTTAATTGTTCTCTCTTAAAGCATATTCTGTCATCAGAAGTTAAACATATGTACTCCACCTATATAGATCCATACAATACTATATGCCCATAGACGTTGCATATATAGTGGTTCTATGGTTCTATGTATTTATTCAACAAATACAAATGAAGCATCTTGTACTGGGAAAACACAAGTGAAATAGAAGACAAACCCTTTAAGAGAAAGACCGACTGAGCGAGGGGAGCAAGAGAACATGCCACACTCAACCACGGCATTCCATTCCTGGGCTCCAACAAAGCTCTCCCCAGTGCCCACACCCTGGGTCTGGCAGAGAAAGTGCTTTGGAGCCTGTTTCCACCCGGACTCCTGGCGCAGCTCACTCAGCCGCTGTAACAACAGATCCCTCTACTCTTCCAGCCCTCCTGCCCCTGGGATGTAGCCCTTAACTCTCCCATTCTGGGATGGAAGCAGGGGTTCCACTCATCTGTGGGGGCAAGTAGTCTCCCTGCAGCTGGGCACTCTGGTGCCTGGGGCTGCTCTCTGGTGCCTTCCTTCACCATACATGTAGTTCTCCCCCTCAGGACGGTCCTTTAGCAGAGTCCTTGGGACCCATAGGTGGGCCTCAGCCTTCATTTTCCCCTGCCCTCCTTGGGCCCATGGTGTAACTAATTCCCATTCTGAGGACCAGCTCCTTGAGACCTCCAAGAGTCCATGTAGTTCTGCCTGACCACCCCACACTGGCCCAAGGAAGCCCCACATTTTTGTAAATCGGGGCCACACCTAGCATTGAGGTCCTGACAAGTGAGTGCTCAGGCCAGGTGGTGCTTAGGGGCCACCTGGACCACACCAGGTTGGGGTGGGGGATGAAATCAGGGTCTTGCACATATGAGGCTGATGCTGCCCCACTGAGTTGTTTATTTATTGCTATTATTTTTTTCTGTTTGGGGGCCACAGCAGGCTGTGCTCTGGGCTTACTCCTGGCTCAGGGATCACTCCTAGGGATGCTCAGAGGGCCATAAGGGGTATCAGGGACTGAATCTAGGTCAGCAAGGCAAGGTCTTACCTGCCATACTCTCTTGAGCCCTTGAGCTATTTCTTTGACCCCAGAAAGCATCACTTTCTTTCTGGCTGGGCTTCCTATCTCCCAGCTGTGCTAAACAAGCCAAATCAACCACATTCCACTGCCTGCACCCCCTCCAAATTGGTCCTTTGGGACCTGCCCAGTGCTTCCATGAGGACTCCCATTTGGACCAAGTTCTGTCCTGGGTCCCCGCAGCGACCTTGCTGCTCAGTATAGACCCCAGTGCACGCCTCCACTGTTTTGTCCCACATTTCACGTCCACATTTCCTGGGTAAAGACTGTTCCTGCTTCTCTTTCCTTTCCTTCAGCTGTCCCCAAATCAACTGACTGGCTCTTTTCACCTTTGCTAGTAGAAGTGCCTAAATGAGAAACAGAATTTCTGCTAGTTTGGTTTGCTCATCTGTGAAATGAGGCTACTTTCCCTGAAGAATCCAAGGATTCAAGGTTAAGTACAAAAATGCTTTTAAGTGCTCTGTCCATGGTATCTCTTGGTATTACAATGGCTGGTGGCAAATGTTTGCTGAACAAAGTAGACTCAGGTGACTTGGGAGCTCAAAATAAGAAAAAATTTTTTCTATAAAGTTAAGCATGAACTAGGCCTAGGAGGTGGATCAAAGGGCTAGTGTGCATGTCTGCTTTGCATGCAGGAAGCCTGGGTTCAAGCCTGATACCCTATGGTTCTCTGAGCACTGTGGGAATAGACCCTGAGCACCTCGGGTTCACTCCCCCCAAAAACAAACAAAAAAGACTCAATGTAGAAATATGCACTGAAAATCTTTCCCAAAGCCCAGCGTGACACATAAAGAGAGATACCTGCTCCCCTCTCCCCACCCCCTGCTCACCCCTACCCCCTACACACACACACACACACACACACACACACACTCACCAGCAGGACAGTTGTCTCAGGCCACCAGGACAGGCTTCTCTGCAGGTCCCTCAAGCTGGCTCACGGGTGCTGTGTCCTGGGTGCAGACGCACTTTCCACGCGACCAACCACTCCTCTTTCTGGAAGAAGAGGGAGTAATGTCAGGGCATATTTCACCTCATTCTGGGGCCAAGGGCTCTCAATTACATCTCTGTTTCTGCTGCATCAGAGAAGGTGGGAGGCAGCGGGTGGCACATGGATGGCCAAGGATGTGGGTGTTTTCATGTGTGGAGCCCTAGAGATTCTTGTTAACCAAATGAGGTCCGGGGGGATTTCAGTACCAAAACTGCCCATGGGTGGGGTTGGAGAGAGAGCTCAAAGGAAGGGGGCACACACTTGGAATGGGGAGCTCATATTTCACCCCCAGCACCACATGATCTCCCCCCCTCCTTCCGCAACTCCCCAGATGCTGAGGTGGGAGAAGCCCCTTGGTACTACTGGATAAGGATTAACCCTCTCCTTCAACTCATAATAATATATCATGTACCAAGCATTGTACTCAGTGCTCTAGGTGGGAAGTCTCATTTCATCCTCAGACCTACCTGGTAAGGCCCCATTGCAGAGATGAAGAAACTGAGGCTCATTCAGACTGAGAAGAAATCAACTTAAACTTGCACGACAAATGGGCAGCTCACCAGGATTCACACTGGGACCATTCTGATTCCACAGCTACTGCTCATTAACTCTCACAAGACTGTTGCAGTGGAAACACTAGATTCAAATGGCTGGGCACCCAGGACCCAAATTATTGTCGAGCACTGAGGGGAAAACCCACCCAGGTAGGGGTTTAGCAGAGAGAGCAAAGCTCTTGCTCCCCCCACCCCCACCTCTGATACTTATTGAGCTGACCTCATTGAACTTTACTCACTGAGCTTCACCTGCATAGTCTCCGGCAGAGCCATCTTCCCATGTCCAGAATCTACCAGCAGCTGTTTTCCCTTGAGTGTTTCACAAATGGCCCATGTCAGGAGCTTGGGGGAAGTGATAAGGGGACACGACCTGACTGAGCCCCCTGACTACCTGCTGGTCAAATATAAGAACTCAGCCTGGAGAGACAGTATAGTAAGGTGCTTGTCTTGTACACAGCCAACACCAATTTGACACCCAGCACCACAAATGGTCCCCTCAGCACCGCTAGGCATGATCTGATTCCTGAGCCAGAAGTAAGTTCTGAGAATAACTGTGTGCCCCCCCCCCCCCATCTCATAACCCCACCCCACCCCACCCCCTGCAAAAAAAAAAGTGTGAGAGCTGAATCTGAAGATGAAGTGGCCAGTCACCACTGGTCCAAAATATCTTTCCCTACTGGTGTCTGTCCTAGCAAAAACTTGCTCTGTCTGGCCTAGCCGTCCTTGGTATGGATGGGTACAACAAAGATACTACTAATTCTGAAATATCCCAACTCCCATGACCAATAGTAACTTGAAGTAGGTAATCCTAGAAAGTCATCTATCCACCAAAATACTGGATTGGATTTTCTACATTATCTGAGAGAAGGGGGATTCAGCATTACCTGTTCTGTAGATGGGAATTTTGCTGTTCCCATTTAGTTTCTTGAGAGAAAATTAATCTTCATACAGGAACCAGACTTTCCTTCCTTGCGATTTTCACCCACTTGTCCTAATTATAGTTCCATAAAGGTAATATGCCACCTCTTAACAGGGCACTTTGTCAGGTTTAAGTGTACTTAAGTGTATGACAGGTTAAACTCAAAATTACAAGGATGGAAGTTAAGCGACATCCACCTGGCAATGTTACCTCCCACCACTAGGTGGCAATGGCAGTTGGCAGTAGTTCATCCTTTGAATTTGCCCAACACCCATTGGTAAACGTTGTGAATAGGGCCTGTTTCTAAGGAGAGGAGCGCTTAGGCCTTGAGAACAGCACTTTTATGTTCTCTAATGCTTTTCCTCTCCAGAATAAATATCCTCAGCTTCTTCAAACAATCTTTCTTTTTGGTGCCAAGAATTGAATCCAGGGATATATACGTGTGAAACATGTGTTCTACCACTGAGTTACAGACCCTGCAACAGAATGACATTTCTATCAATTCATATCAGACCTGAGGCTAAATTTTATTTCCTGGTTCACGGTGCAACCTTGATTGATTTTTTTGATTTTGTTTTGTAAAACAAATTTTTTACAAAATTTTACAGATTTTGTCCTGTAAAATGGTGATCACATACTTTAGAGGGTTGTTCTGAGAACTGAATGAGGTAAAACATGTACTATATTTAGAACAGAGGCTGTGTACAAAATCTGTTTGCATTACAATAAGTTAATGGAAAGAAAGGGCTTTCTAGCTTTGGTGGGAACCATAGCACCCTATTCTCCCTGTTAATATAGCCTCAAACGACATACTTTTCCAGACTTCTATTTTGAGTTTTGTTTCTAGGCTACATCTAGCAGTGCTCAGGGATGATTCCTCCTCACCTGTGCTCAGGAGTGACTCCTGGTGGTGCTGAGGAACCATGCGCAACACCAGGAAAAGAACCAAAGTTGCCTGTATGCAGGCAAGTGCCTTAACCCCTGTCCTGTTTCTGGCCCCTCAGATTTGTTCATTTTTATTTTTTGGGACTATGCCTCGCTCTGCTCAGGGATTGTTACTGGCTGTGTGCTCAAGGATCACTTTTGGCAGGCCTTGACAAGCCATATAGGGTGCCAGGGTAGGCTGTGCATAGGTAAACATCATACCCACTCTACTGTCTCTCTGCCCCTCTGACTTATTCTTGTTTAGGGTCAATAAAAGCCCCAAATCCACAACAAATGTTACGAATAGAAAGGGCACTAGCAGTCCACTTGTGAATGGCCATTGTGTTACAAAGAGAGGCTGTCCAAAAGCTAGGTCTTTATTACACTTCTGTAGGACAATATTTTTGAATCTAAGTGCAGGACTTTGCATTGATCCCGAGAACACTGGATGGTGTTGTGACATTGTCTAGGAGCTTATGGCCCAACACAGACTTTGGTGCCAAGGAGTCCTGGGTTTTACTCTTGGCCTTACTAATGACCAGCTCTAAAAGAGAAGCCCCCTCGCTAGGCCTCAGTGTTTTCATTTTTGAACATGAGGGGATGCCACTTCCTATTTCAGGGGTGTGAGAAGAAATGAAATATCAGAACTACTCAGCCCAGTGCCTGGTGGATTAATGGGTGATCAGGAAGTACCAGTTCCAGGCCCTTTTCCTTCTCCCCTCCACGTTTTTTTCTTTTGGTTGTTTTTTGGGCCATGCTTGATGGTGCAAAGGGCTTACTCCTGGCTGTGTACTCAGGGATCACTCCTAGTGGACTTGAGGGACCATATGGGATGCCTGGGATCAAATGTGGGTCTACCGTGTATAAGATGAGTGTCCTACCCGCTATACTATCTCTCCTGCCCTCCTTTCCCTTCCTCCCCCAGCCTGTTCTCTCATGGGAGCTTGTGCTCCCATCTTCGTCAGACATCAACAGGGAATCAGACCATGAAGCTGATTACCCAAGGAAATCCGATAAGATTTCCAGAAGATTCCCGCTTTTCCTCCATCTCTACTGAGGTGAGAGACAAAGCAAACAATGAGACCTCCCCTAGAAAGCAAAAATCCTGATGGGACGGTGGGACTTAGGGGCAGCTGGGTGGGTGGGGAAGAGCAAGCCACAGATTCAAAACTGGGGTGGGAATCAGGAAACCTAGGTTCCCCTTGCTACTCACTTGCTATGTGACTTTGGAAAATCTTCTCTCCTTCTCGGATCTTGATTTTCTCATCTGTAAAATAGCCCCATTTGGAGATGATTTCTAAGGGTCATTTCAGCTTGTAGTTCTACTGCCCGTACAATATAGTGTCTTCCAAAAGCTCATTTCTTGTAGATGCTGTCCCTGGGATTGTTAGGAGAGGGAAATCAGCATGTTCCACTCAGGCTGGAAGTCAGTAACGCTTCCTGGAAGGCAGTTGAGATGAGAATAAACCAAAAGAAACTTCCCAGAGGGATTTTTGTTGGGTTTGTTTGGGGGAACCACACCTAGTGGTGATCTGGGGTTACTCCTGGCTCTGCACTCAGGAATCACTCCTGGAAGCGCTCAGGGGACCAAATGAGATGATGGGGCTCAAACCCAGGTCTGCCGCGTGCAAGCCAAGCACCTTATCCGCTGAAATAACACTCTAGCCCCTACAGATCCATATTTATTTATTTATTTATTTGTTTGTTTATTTATTGCTTTTTGGGTCACACCCAGCGATGCACAGAGGTTACTCCTGTACTCTGCACTGAGAAATCACCCCTGACAGTGCTCAGGGGACCATATGGGATGCTGGGAATTGAACCCAGGTTGGCCGCGTGCAAGGCAAATGCCCTACCTGCTGTGCTATTGCTCCAGCCCCATACAGATTCATTTTTATAAGCCAAATACAAAGGACCAACAATCAGATGAAATGAGAACAGCACTGGCCCTGACAGCAGCAGCACTAGAAGCTCAGAGACAACTTTCCAAAATTCTGAGGGAAAATAATTTCCAGCCTAGAGGAGCAGAGCAAGCCAAACTAAACACTGAGTGTATGGGTAGAATAACGACATTTGGGGGCATGCGAGGCTTCCCAAAAAGTACACGCCACCACGTGTACCTTTTCCAGCCAAACAGCTGGTGGATACTGAGGGAGTAAACAGATTCCTAAAGGTTCTGGGCCTCAGGGGCCAGTGGGTGTGCAGGTTTGAATCCTGCAGCAACCTTGGGGTACGGGATGGGGTGTCAGGTGGACCTGCCTAACTAGGGCAACAAAGGAGATTCAGGGGTTCTGTCAGCTTGGAAGAAATAAAGCCAACCCATTTGCTAATGAACTTGTTCAGAGTGAAAGATCTACCCTTTTTGTTGGCAAATTTGGGAGATAAATTTATGGAAGATAATTAAAGTATTTCCTGAAAGTCTTAAATATCCTCCACCATGAACCCCCCCACACACTATTTTTCTTTCATCTTCCCCCACGTCCTGTGTGTGACAACTCAGTGTGTTCACAGGGTTCTGTGGAGCTGTCTGAGAACTAGTAAACCCATTGCCTTCTTCATAAAAGTGGGGGAACTGGGGTGAGGGAGATCTCAAAGGACTGGAGCATATGCTTTACATGTTGGAGTTTGATCCCTGGCGCTGTATTATGGTTCCCAGCACCTGTGGAAGCAACCTCTAAGCACAAAACTGGGAGTAACCACTGAGCACCATGTGGGATGGCCTCCAAACAAATAAATGAACAAAAAAGAGTGGCAAGAGATTAGTACCAGGAGTTTTGCTCCATGGCTTGGAGGCCAGCCACACATTCTAGGGGAAAAGGGAGCTCAGGTAGAGAAAGGAGCACCAAATAAAGGGTGATGGGAGGATCCTCTCAGGATGGGAGAAGCATGCTGAAGGTAGACTGTAGACCAAACATGATTGCCACTCAATGCCTCTTTTGTGAACCACAACACCCAAAAGGAGAGAGAGAACAAAAGGGAATGCCCTGCCACAGAGGCAGGGTGGAGTGGGGGGATGGGAGGTGGGAGGGATACTGGGATCCATGGTGGTGGAAAATGGGCACTGGAGGAGGGATGGGTGTTTGATCATTGTAAAACTGAAACCCAAGCACAAAAATTTGTAAATCTACAACTGTACCTCATGGTGTTTCACTAAAAAAAAAGCGGTGGGAGGAATCTAGGAGGATCGTGACCATGGAGACATGACTCAAAAGCTCATGCTTTGCTATAGCTTTGGGCCCAATCCCTGGCACCTTATGGTCTCCTGAACACCACTGAAAAGATCCCTGAATATTGCTGGGTATGGTCCAAAAATCAAAGCCCCTTAAAGGAAGGGGAAACTGAGGGCCAGAGAGGTGCCCGGGGAGAAATGCATCGGTAATTCATTTGTTACAATTTCAAGATCTCCTTTCTGGTCTATTGAAAAGAAGATCAATAGCGCATATACTGCCTAAGCACATGCGTTGCCCGCATTTCCCCTCTTGAGATGTGTACTTTCATGTTTTCATGTCTAATGCTGGAATGCGTGTAGGGGCTCTCTCCGCCATTGGAGAAGCCGGGGCTCCCTTTTGAGTAGGTTACTCTCTACTCTCTCTCTCACTTTCTCTCCCTCCTTCCCTTCAAAACCTCCAAATAAAAACTGTGTAATTAAAAAAAATCAATAATAACAATAGCAAGAATCAAACCAAGCATAAAGGAAACTGAGGTGAGTGATATGTACCCTAATTTGGTCCATGCCTTTCCCCCCTTAGCTTTCAGTCATCCCGCTAATGTACTTGTTCCTAAAAAGCACAGATATCTCTCATGTTTCTATGGTACTTTTTTTGGGGGGGGTCACAACCGGCGATGCTCAGGGGTTACTCCAGGCTCTGTGCTCAGGAATCACCCTTAGCGTTGCTTGGAGGATCATATGGAATGCCAGGGATCAAACCCAGGTTGGCTATGTACAAGGTAAATGCCATACTCACTGTATTTACTCACTGCATTCTTGCTCCAGCCTCTCTATGGTTCTTTTAACAGCTATGTATTAAAAGTAAGAACATGTCAGTACTGGAGAGAAGCTTTGCATAATGGAAGCCCAAGTTTAATCCCAGGCAACACAGGATCCCCTGAGCACCACTAGGTGTGATCCAAAATTTTTTTTAAAAAGCAGAGAGAGAATATGCAGTCATAATTGAGTTTTGCAGATCCAAGACAACTTATGGGGACAAAAGCCCCACAGAAAGTAGGCCTGCAGGGGAGGACCCCCATCTCCCTGGAACCGGGAGTCCTGACTCTAGGACTTTTAGGCAGCTCATTAAAATTTAGGAAGCAAGGTCAGTACCCTGTCACAAAGTTCCATCATTGGAACACATCCCTAAGTGCTGACCTTCAAAGGTTGCTTCTCTGCCTCACCTTCTGCCTTTTCCAAGGGCTCGGCTAATGTCACTGTAGTTATGGGTTAATATGAATCCTTTCTGTAATAGTGGCACTTTAATATAGAATTCTAGAAACCTACTGCCTAGTAGTAGTAGTAGTAGTAGTAGTAGTAGTAGTAGTAGTTGTTGTTGTTGTTGTTGTTGCTGTTGTTATTTTTCAGTGTTGGGACTTGAACTCAGGGCCTCACATGTGCAAGGCAACTGTTCAGCCTTTGTTATGCTCTGCCATTGTAACACTTGGCATCTTTCTGAGTCTCAATGTCCTGCTCTATGGAGTTCTATCCCATCTACTTAATAGGGTCCCCTCCAAACCCTCAAGACATGGGGGCAGGCATAAGAACCTGGGCTGGAAGCTGAGTACCTGGCTCCCATCTTATTGCAGTTGCTTACTTGCTGTACCCCTTGGGCAAATCAGGGGATTCTGTGTAGACTCCAGTTTGCTCTTCTGCTGAGGGGGCCTGCTACAACCCAGTGATAGCCTGTCACGTTCCTCCATCTTGTGATCCCATCAGCCTGCCAGTTGGGTTCAGGATGTGGTCCCTTAGTCCCCCATTCCAGAGGGAATGCCACTCCCTTTCCCGCTCCCCTTTCCTGCCTGAACTGAACCTGGCAGGCGAGGACTGTGGGGGAACAATCCCGCCCTTCAAGCACCTGCGGTGAGAGCTGGCCCACAGCCAGGCACCAGAGGCCCTGAGATACAGAGGGGCGTTTGTCTGGGGGACCCACGGTTTTATGTAAACCATCATCTCGCCCTGGCCTGGCCTCTCTCTTCTCCCCATGCTTCCCTCTTTGTTGTGAGGTGAGACGTGTCTTGGGTGCGACCTCTAAGATCCGCTGAGTCCCAGGGTCATCTGTGAAGAATGTCCTGTGGCTCAGAGTCCCAAGAAACAGACATTTTTCAACCCACGGAGCTGAGCCCAGATGCTGGGACCTGAACCCAGGGCCTCACACAGGCAAGGTATGTGCCGTACCGCCGTAGCACCCTGACCTCTTAACACGGGGCAGACCTGTTGGTGCCAAACCTCCTAGTTTCTATGCAATGCAAGCCCGTGGCCTGTGGTGCCTAAGAGCAGTGCCCAGGGCCTTGGTCTCAAGGCCTCCCCTGCTCCCACTCCCCATTCCCCCCGTGGAGAGAGACAGGCACCTGCCACTCAGGCAGAACTGTGTCAAACCTTTGGGAACCCCTGTGCTGAACATTGTGGGAAGGGCTTCACATTCCATCCACTCAGTGATCATCACAGCCCCCAAGGAAATGGCTCAGAGGGGCTCATTCATTAGCCCAGAGTCACAGAGTGACCAGAGCAGAGCTGTCTGCTTGCCCCTAGGTTTCAAGAAGGGTTGGAGTGAGCAACTGATGGATTGGAAGAAACTCTGAAGGGAATGACAAAAGGAGCCAGATAGTGGAATTGAGTCCATGTGAGGTGTGTGGGGTACATGGGGTATGTGTAGCTCTGGGGGTGGGCACTGCTGAGGGTGGGGGGCAATTTTGCCCTCCCAAGAGCAGGCGTGTGAATGTAGCAGGCCAGGCAGTACTTAACATGCTAATGGGTTCTGCATTTTCTCTCCCACCTCTCCAGGGCCACTGTTTGCCCACAAACCGCAGAAGATGCTCCCCTCAGCCTGGGCAGGGGGCCACTCTCTTAACTGCCACAGAGCAGCACTGTTGAGCCTGGAAATGTGTCTGCTATGAGTGGACAGGAGTTGTGAGTGTGAAATAGCTGTGGGATATCCAGACCGAATACAAAGTAGCGGAGTGGAAAACATCACATTAGTACTGGCTGATATTTGAAATATATTGGTTTAAATAAAATATCAAAATGTATTTGACTTCTTTCTTTTTACCTTATATTTTTTTAAATTTTGGGGGGGTTC